TTGACCCTGAGTGACGACGTAACAGGAGAAGCCGATAGGGAATTCTCCCTTTAATATAGGTTCACTTTATGTCTTAAACCTTTCCCAATTTTCCCTTCATCTCACTCACCTCCTTCCAGACCCCCCCCCCCACAACACCTTTTCATCAAACACTAACTTATTCCCGTTGGTTTAAGTCTCAAGGAATTTGCTATTTACAGCTATTACTTACTGTACAACATAAACTTTTAATAGATTACAGAGACGGTAATTATTACAGTTCATAAATGTTAAAGAAAAGGTGTTTATTATGCCTTTAAGCAATAGAGGGAAATTGCATACTTCGGTAATAACACAGAAGGGTGAACAAGAACACACACCTGTAATAAATACTTCAGGTGAACTCTAATTATCGACCTTGACCAACATATCAGTAATCTAATATTGGACATTGATTTAATTTATATCCTTGGACTCATTAAATTACTGATCGGGAAACTCACTTGCCATTACCAGAATTTATAGGGTCAACAGTGACCATAACTGCAGTGAAATATTAAGTAAAATAAAGCTTTAGGGACCTGTGATGTAGGTTCTTTTACACCAAAGTTCATCTAGAGATTAAGACATACCTATTATAACTGTACATTATAAATAGACTTGTGTAATAGCTATCAAGTTACGCTCTTAAAGATGTTAGCTGTTGAAGTGCAAGTATATATGACCTAGAAACGGACGTAATGACGGACATGGATAACGTTATATGCTCCTTCCGTAGATATAAAAAAGATAGAGGAAAAATATTTCTAGCATATAGGAATATATTTATAGGCTATCAAGCTGCATGAGCATTAGTAATTTAAATCCTAAAATATGTAAATTACTTGAACGTGCCCTTTTTTTTATTAACAGAAATCCTTATGAATGTCTTTAAGCAAATTGACTGAAGTGCAGAAATACGAACACTTTTAACATGCAAAGGCTACAAAGAATGTCATATATTTTTTTATGATCGTAAAATAAACGACGTGTGTGTGTGTGTGTGTGTGTGTGTGTGTGTGTGTGTGTGTGTGTGTGTGTGTATGTCATTTAGTTAATCTGTTATCTGAACGCTTGAAGACAACAAGGGCCACATTCCTATTAGTAAATGCTTGATCCTTAGACCAGGTGTGGGGAAGATGTTTTTATTATACTACCGAAAAGTTTAACCAACAGACAGTTTCCGTCCACATTGACTTATCCTTCAGACAGATGTTCTCCAAACGGACTCAAACAAACTCATCCAACAGGCAAATGTCTTCCACACGGACTCAAACAGACTCATTCCTCGAACAAATGGCGGCAGGCAAATGGATTCAACACAGACACCCAAAGCAGACGGGTATTGTTATGGCTAAGACTACTAAATCAACCTGAAACACGGAGAAGGAAAAGAGGATCTGTAATTATCGTGAATATTGCACTACTCTTCCCCGTCACTACGCGAAGGCAAAGTTTACATTTCTCAATCTTGTGAAAAGTGAAAAGGATTTGCGTGTCGAACAAGACTGCCATTGAGATCTCTACAGGTTATCGATATTGCTAACGTCTTTGAAGTGTCGCATTGACAAGGTTTACTCGGCATTTTCTTTCGAATTTATATCCGAGAAGAAAACACGGTATTCAGGGGGTTTATTTTTGTTTCCCGAGAAAAAAAAAATAGTCGTCGCGTGCAATGTTTTGATAAATGAAGATAATCTTTCATTCATAAAGTAACAAATATATATATATATATATATATATATATATATATATATATATATATATATATATATATATATATATATATATATATATATATATATATATATATACTGCACCAGAAACACAAAACGTGAGTTTATTTGTAAAAAATTGCACCATTGTGCCCCTCTCAGGACTCGAATCCTCGATGAGATTGTGGAGTCGAAATCTTCTGGCCAACATGTTGTCACACACACACACACACACACACACAGGACTATGAGGAGAAATGAGAATAAAAGGACATACAAGTATTTGGCATCAATTCGTTTGAGAGAAAATGTCGAAATATATTCCGAATCTAATGAATAAGAGTCACAGCGCCTGAATATTGTCGTGAGTCAGTGAGTTACTTTTACCGGTTCTCACATTGATGACTTCTTGTACTTCGCTGTTATATCGAAGAGCATTAATAATCCTTGTTGAGAGATGGCAGTATCCTTCATTATGGTTGTTCCTGCTAATTGAAGAGTACCAAAGTCAGTAAAAATGTAGGAGAGGGTCGCCACCTTAAATATTTTATTTTGGGGGAGGGGGATCTTTTCAGACTTGTTTGTTGGGATGCATAGATGCTCATCTACTAAGAGAGAAAGAAAAATGTAGGAATATGAAATATATTTAGAATCACCAATCGCCATAGTCCCACAAACTGTTGCTGTTTCGTAAGAACTCTTCTGTAGGTACTACTGTAGGTTCATAGTCATTATTTAATCCTCTCCCACCTAATAAGCATTTTTACTTTAAAACAGACACATCCTTGAGTTCCTTCCTCTATATATCATTGGTATAAGTGACGACTTTCTCCTGAACCTTTAAGAAAAATCTTATAGGAGTAAAAGGTTAATATTTTTTTTCCAGGTAAGTGAAAGTTAACAGCTCCTCGAGACCCCGTAACACACCACACTTCAGTCCAAGTAAGTTTCATGTATCAGTTATCATTGTGTTAGTACTTGTTCAGGAGTCTTACGTCTCCGCTAACTGCGTAAGTCGCTGTTACCTCTCGTGTTTTGCTTTTCAAATTTAACGTATCGTCATAAACTATGGTGATCCCTGGCAGGCACGAATTATTCTCCAACGTTGTCTTGTTCAGCAGAGGCTCTTCATTTTTGTTTTTCTTTTTTTTACTGGAATTTGCAAGCACATGACTGCGTCCTCTTGAATGTGTCGATTCTGTTTTCCGCCTATGGGCAGAAAATATACACGTACTAGTGAAACATTCTAGTTGTCAATCCTGGGAAGTTTACATTAAAGAAGTTTCTGGGTAAACAAATGTCTTGAAGTTTTTGGATGTATGGTTGGTTCACCCTCGGGGCACCCCTAGTTCACCCAGCTGTGACTGAGTACCTAACTTTGCAGTTGGGCAAAGTGAAGATGGTTGAGTGTAGTGTCGGCCAAACTGCCTGTTTGTGTACCTAAAACAGGTTTAGTTTAAATTGTGCGGTATACCTACAAGCCGTAAAGGTTCTTCAGGCCTACGGAATTCATTTTCATACACTGCAGCGTCGAGAAGGCCAATGATTTATGATAGGTTTCTGCTCAGTTAGTTTCTACGCATTTTCTATGATGATTTACAGGAAGAAAAGTAACTATAAGGTTATTTATGCTGCAATATTATATCAGATCATTATAATGGTTATGTCTGTTAGTCTCCGTAATCTGTGTTTATTGTTAAGCACGATTAGGTGCAATGATAGGGAGCTATTTCTTGATGAATATTTACATGACCAAGAAAAAATAAAATGTGTAAATGATCTTTTATAATAGGCATTATTAGTCTAATATAACTTGAGAGTTTGTAAGAACTATATGCATATAACAGTGTCAGGGAGCCAAGGTAAAGAGACCAGCTGTGGAAGTGTGGACTAAGATTTCGTATAGTGAAGCTCTGAGACACAGTTTATGTTGGCTGTTTGATGAGGTATTGACTTATAAGAACGAGAGTGATAGACAGAGAAGAATAATTACGAATACGAGCAGAATTGTATACCTGTTATAATAAATTCTAACAACAATAGCTGGTTAGATTGAACTGTTGTGGGTTAGAATACAGTACGAGGTATATCCAATCGTCCAAGATATTAACTCCTGTTCACCTGCCTTTTCTACTGAGCATGTTCCGTGTACCTGTGTGATAGGAAGTAGTATTTCTAGTCGTACGTCTTCCAATACGTCCTTTCCTAAAAAAATTCCATGTTAGTGTTTTTCATCGTTATTTTTTCCTGTCGGCTTTGACGCTAGAGAGAGTGGAGGGTGCGGAGAGCCTTCTGCTGTGTAGCCTGACCTAGTCTGTCTAGATTGGTCTCAGCAAATTGTTTAAAGCCATCCAGTATATATTGCCGTGTAAAACTAATGAAAATGTTTAAATTATTTCGTGAAATTCATAAATATTTTAGTAATGTCGAGGATGTAGCAAGATGTGTATGTATGTATGTATGTATGTATGTATGTATGTATGTATGTGTGTATGTATGTTAGTGAATAGATATATAGAGCAAGAATACATCCGAGAGAACGCACACATGCCTACATACAGACACTCTCAAACGAGGATGTGTGAAGGGCAGACCTGTATGTAGGTTAGTGTAGAGGTATAACAGCGGAAAGGTGCACACACCAGGAAGCATACACAGACACACACACACACACATGAACACAGAAAAACACAGACACACAACGTACACACACGCACATACACACGTTAAAATACAAACCCACACGCACATCCACACGTACTAGAAAGATACCTCCAGGTAATAACAATAATGTGTGGGAAACCGAGAGAGAGAGAGAGAGAGAGAGAGAGAGAGAGAGAGAAGTTGGTGAACCTAACTTCACTGCTGTAACAAGTTCTCTGATGAAGTTAAGTTTCTAGCCCCAACATTCCCGTAATATAAGCGAGATGTGTGTCATATAACATTCCAACACACCACCAAGTTCTTACTAGTATAGCGAGGGAGTTATAATGAACTATTGAAGGGGGAGATTATTAATATGGAAGCGGTGTTTATTAAGAGGTAACCCTACACCAATTTGGTCTTGACAGCCGTAAGGTGATATATGTACAGCCATCTTCCTTCGTTGCTCCCCCTTCCCCGCATCCTTTAAATAGGGAATTATACTTCTATGATGCCTCCACTTTTGTCACCCCCCATTGAGCTCATACAACATAGTGGGTTGTATGATTGGCGTTCCCAATGAGAGCCTAGAAGGTAAATCAGTGTTGGATATCGTATACTCACTTACTGTACACTAGCTCGGGCGGTAGAGTTGCACAATCCACGGTGACTACTCGACGAAGGAACACATACAAGTGCTGGGTGTATAGCCGACACCTCTACCTCACCTTCACTCAGTATGTTCTCACCTCTACAGAGACATGCGTCGACAAAAAATAAAACCTTCGAGCTGCCTTTTTATTACCACGTCTTATGAATTAATGTTCTTTTTCAACAATCTTTTATAAGCCTGTGTGTGTAGGTTGTGTAAGGTAATCACATCCGGCAGTCACAATGCCTTAAAGCACCTCTTTTTTATATATATTTATATTTCGTTTTTTCCTCACAGTGCTTAGATATCACGAAAGGCATAATAAATCGCGTTAGAGTAGATTAGTCAATATGTGTCGAGCGAGAGTGAGCGACGCGGAGTGTGTGTACGTGGGGTGTTGGGCCGCGCGAGGTTGAGGAGCAAGGCACCGACTTCCTCTCTGCACCGAGTCAAGAGCCGCACTGAGAGGGGAGGCGGCGGCGGGCCCCACGCCGATCATACCTTGGCCCTCTCTCCTCTACCTTTATTATTGTTTACTCACTGTCTTTTTCTCCTTCGTTATTCACCATGTGCATAATGGCGGCAGTGATGAGGCTCTCGGTGTGTGACGGTGATGGTAATCGGTCTTTACCGGGTAATTTATCGCAACACTTCTGTTTCAACACAGTCAATTAACTGTAGGATCTGCTCCATACATATCGCCAACTGTCTTCTACGGCGATGCCTCGCATTCATTACCACTTGTCGAAATTTCAGGATTTGCCCTATACACTGTAACTACAGTATTTTAACACAACCAGTTAACTCCACGAAGTCTGCCACACACACATGCATACTGTATGTACTGTATATATATATATATATGCACTGAGATTTTTTTCTCTTGATATATTGTAGTCTGATTCTCACTTAGTGGGAAAACGACCTGCAGATCTCTGAGAATCGGGTCATTGATCTCTAAGTGCTGTCATGAGGCAGCGATCGTGACTGAACCTGATTATTATAAACACGGGTTGCCAAGAAGTTGATCCCCATGTGGCACTGACCACCACATTCCTCAACTAACTTTCCGTACTAATTATGTAACTTTGTCACCCATGATAAAGTGAAAATCTTAAACAATCTACTCCTTGCCATCTGTACCTTTATCCCTCTCTCTCCGTCTCTCTGTTTTTCTCATTTTCTATCTTATTTTGTTAGGTTTAGGAGAAAACATTTTGTAATTCCACGCTGGGAGACTTCGCCTCAATGTTCAATGTGACGCGTTCAGATTGTGTAAGATTCAGGGCTGGAGTCTCAAGAAAAGGCCACACTGTGAGAGAGAGAGAGAGAGAGAGTCAGAGTGAAAGAGACGTATATACAGAGTGATATATATATGTGTGAGTGTGTGTGTGTGTATAAACAGATAGACAGAGTGAGAGATACATTTAGTTATATAGAGTGAGAGATATTCAAAGGTAAAGTAAAGTGAGAAAGACATTCAGAGTGTTGTTTAAAGTGAGAACGATTTTCAGAGTGAGGCGATTGTCAACCCCTTGTCACTTCTCTCTGAACTAATCAGCTATAAAATTCACCTTCTCTTAAATAATTTCCCCAAAACATATCACTGAAATTCCTAAAACAGATCGAAGGAATTATGTATACCTTAAAATACAGGTGGACTTCCCCTCATCAACCTGACACTCAAGAATGTAGGTGTAACTCCATTTAACCTGAGCGTGTACTGCAAGCGTGAGAGTTAATACCAGTTTATGAATATATTTTAGGTGTGTGATAATAATTCAGAGATTTTCTACTTAGAATCAGTGGTTAGAATGGAATGCGTTCACAGCTAACCGCGCCAGCTAAGAATACAGCAATGTTTAGTCTGTTTTGTTTTACTAGTTAGGACACGATGCGTTTACAGTTAATTCCAAAAGCGAGGGGTAAAGTAATTTCTCTTAATTGGCCAAGCAAAATCAACTAGTGGAATACAATTTCCTCACAAAAATGCTAGCCACTTTGTATTTATCGATAGCAATTTAGTTTTCAGGATGTACTACATTAATGGCGACCTTTTCCTATAAATCAGAACTTTAACTCATTTAAGAGTCATTATTCACGAGTGACATTTCAAAAGGAATAGTTTACACCTCGCACGTGCCATCCTTCTGGTCTGATATATATTATTAAATGCCAGGCGATAATGTTATAATGTTGAGTAATAATATTAACTTGTACGATTAATGATCCTCTCATGTTCTCTCTTTCTCTCTCTCTCTCTCTCTCCTTTTCCCTGTGTTCCCTCTCTCTATTCTCTCTCGAACTCTCTTTATGTCTGTCTGTCTGTCTGTCTGTGTGTCTCTGTCTGTCTGTCTCTCGTTACTAAAATGATATGAGGTACAGTAGACAAACTCCTCTGTCAAATCCTCCGCTTCAGGATTGGTTGAATAAGACCGCTGGGAAAATAATAGGCAGTAAATAATTATAACAGAGCCATTGAATCCTGCTGTGTGTGAGGTGCTGGTTGGCACTTGTTATAAATAGCTGTAATTGATCCTAAGTTGTGAGGGAATATTGACTCCAGAGACATTTCAGTGTCAAATGATCATTAATGGTGATATAAGTTATTTCTCTCACCTGTACAGTGTTATCATTGTGTTTTCTTGGAGTATAACTTTGACTTTTGTTCATCTGTAACTAAAATAATTCATAACTTTAGGCCAAGATTTTATCCTCTGTAGTTTAGGGAGACTTATATATCTTTTATGTGTTATTTAAAAGATCTAAACAAACGTACACACTCTATATACTAAAGGTCTGGCGTCTTGGTGTGTGTAAACTTTAGTCTTGTCTGGCATAACTTTTGCATTGATTCAGATATTCTGATGAAAACTTCAAGGAATATTTTCCATTACCGATTGAAGTTCAGAACACCAAAATCTATTCGCTATATGTGAGAGGCCAAGGTTAGAGACGGTCAAACTTATCAGTGAGAACATGGCAGAAAAGAGCAATAGATCTGCATACATATATACTTACATGCATACATACGTGCATACATACATACATACATACATACATACATACATACATACATACATACATACATACATACATAAGCGTCCCGTCCCTGCCGTACTAATAACTTTAATATAATCTGACCTAAGTTTATTTGTTGCCTCGTAAATTATCAGAAAAATTAATTTACTGATCGCGAGAAAGTTTTGTGGCCAGTGATGGTGCAGATCCCGGAGAGGTAGGGAGGGAAGAAGAGGAGGGGGAGGAAGTTACTAGAACGGGAGGAAGATGGGGAGGAGGAGAGTACTGGAGGAGAAGGATGGTGTTGGAGGAGGATGAGTGTGTTGTAGGAAGAAAGTGGAAGAGGAGTAGTTGTAAAGGAAGGAAATTGTTGGTGGAGAGTGTTGGAGATAGGAAGTGAGGACAGAGAATGAGGGAGGAGAGAAGGGAGGATGGAAATTGAGAGAGAGAGAGAGAGAGAGAGAGAGAGAGAGAGAAGAGGAGAGAAAGGAGAAATGATAGGAGAAAATGGAAAGAGATGGAGAAGACAGAGAATAGAGAGAGATAGAGAAAAGAGAGAGAGAGAGAGTAAGAGAGAGAGAGAGTACAATTTAAGAATGTGGAAGCCAATGACAAATCGACCGTCATATCAATTTTTGCTTATCATCACTCGGCTGCGTAATTATTGGGGGAACAGACTGTATGTTGATCATCGGGTTCCCTGGTTCGAGCATGTCCTATATCCTTCCGTCCCCTTATATGGCGACTGAAAGGAAACATCTATATAAGAGAAATATTTCCGCCAATATTTTATTATTTCCTTCTAAGGTTATTTGGCCTGCATGATACCGTAAGTCCTGTGCGTCTGTGATCGACTATGACTCTTTGCCGTTAAGTAGAGCCCAGGGAAATATTAGAAGATCATAAATCAGGACGGCCAGTAAATGGAACTCTCCCGCTATCTTTATGAGGGAAAATTAAGATCCCTTTGGAGTGTGTAAAGTGCTGAATGAAAGTGGAAAGTTGTGTGTGGAAATGGAGGAAAAAGGTACGAATCTTATCCGTATGAAGATGGTGATTCTTATGCCTAGGGAAAATAGTCATTGTAAATATTTATATTATAAATCTTCTACTGAAAACGTGAAGAAATAAGATAATAATAATCAAGGTGAAAGTTGCACAGGTAAAGGTAAACACCAACATGCTCCTCTGCTTCTCATCGTTTATTCCTCACACCTGGCAACAGTGGACACTTTCCCGGCTCGCGCCTTTCTTTCCTAATATTACCTGCAGTTTTTCAAGTGTAGGGCACACAGGCACAAGGTAAAGCCCCCCAAATTAGCATTCTTCTCTGCTGTAAGGTGCAAGGAAAACTCCTCTTGAATACAGAATGTGGTGTCGTCGCCCTTATTGTGTGCGTCATTGTTTTCAGGAATATTTTCTTCCACTTTGTTGCCCTCCGAGAGAGGAAAAACAAGAGTGATCATAGTGAATCAGTGCTGGAGTGCCAAACAGTTATTTCAGCGAGTGACAGAATGAGTGAGTCAATCGGTCACTCATTCAGTGACTCAATCAGACAATCAATCACAGTTGGATTTCAAAGGGCTGTCTGACGCAGCTGAAAATGGTTAGTCTCTGAAGAACCTGGCAGGAATGACTGAGGGGATGGATCCATGGGAGAAACTCATTGTACGGGATGATCAGAATAGACGCGCCGTGACGGGGAGAGGAGAGAGCGTTAGACAAGTTGGGAACTCCACTGAAAATGTTGGCGTTAAAACTGACTTGGCCTGTGTGTTTCTGTGTGCTGGAGAAGTTTGGTTACTGGGATGATATAATCATATCATGCTGCTATGTTTACTACGTTTGAAGTGTGTTTTTCTCATTATACAGTTACCCGCAAAAATTCTGTCTCTCCTCCTGAACCAGGAACCTCGAGGTTTAGTTTCAGGAATCCAAGGCATTTATGGACCGATAAATGCATCAGTGTCTATCGCTTTGGGTTCACAAGTCTGAATCTCGGGGTTCGTGGAGCAGCAGGGGAGGTGGTAGGACTTTTGTGTGTGGCTGTACCTGAGGTTAAAATAAGGTATAATGATCTTAACTTGTGGAACTTACTTTTTCTCTAAAGGAATTACATTAATATGATTTCAGTCAGTCCTTCTTTGGGCTAAAAGGTGATACTCTCCCTCGTCGATAAAGATACTCAAGTATAATAAAAGCTTCCAGAGAAGATATATTACATAAAATTACAAGGGATCCATTTGTATATGTTTAACGATAAGCAATACCCACGGTTACAGGGTTACTGAAAGAGGTTTTTTATTTCATGTTTGGTCGATCAATTGATATCAACACGAAGGTCATTCCTCTACTCCAGGTGGTCAGAGGCTTGGAGTGTGAGAGAAAGCAGAAAGATGGATATTTTGAAAGTTAGTTGTTGAAAAGGC